TTGAGGATAGGAGAGGGGAAAGTAAGATAACTTTGTCTTGAAGCTTGGGTGCCAGCTCAGCCACAGTGAGGATGAGAACCAAGCAGGCTCTTGCAGTCCCTAGTTCCAGGTCTTGGCTGCTAGATGGCATTTCTGGGTCTTCCCTGGGCCAGAGAGGAGCCCAATCCTTTGAAGGGAGAGACTCAGGACTGACAGTATTCACCATAAGCTGACTGATGAGCCTTTGTGCCTTGAGTGAACATTGGCAGTAGCAAGGAAGTACTTGCTGCAGGCGCGGGGCAGTGGTGGCAAGGGTAAGAGACCCCTTTTCTTGAGGAAAGAGGAGGGAAGAGTGGGAAGGACTTTGTCTTGTGGCTTGGGTGCCAGCTCAGCTACAGTAGAATAGAGTACCAGGTAGATTCCTTTGACTCTCAATTCCAGGCCCTGGCTCCTATATGGCATCTCTGGACCATCCCAGGGCCAGGGGAAACCCACCACCCTGAAGAAAAGAATGCAAGCCTGGCTAGATTTGCTACCAGCTCTTTGTAGAGCCTTCAGGCCTTGTGTGAATGTAGGCTGTAATCAGTCAGTGGTTATTGCAGACCTTAAGCCTGCAGTGCCATACTGGCTTCAAGTCAGACCCAACCCAGTCCCAGTGGGTGGTCACAGGGGTGCTTTGTCACCCCTCTCTCAGCTACAGGCAGCTCAGCACAGAGAGACTCTGCTGGGGGAAAGTAAGGGAAGAGAATAAGAGCTCCTGCCTGGTAATCCAGGGAGTTCTTCCAGATTTTACCTAAGACCACCAAGGCAATACCTCTACAAGTTTGCAAGAGTCTCAGCATTACTGGACTTATGGTGCCCCCTATAGCAGATATGGCTACAGTGACCGAACACATAGGTCACAACACCCAAGTACCTTTGACTATCTGGAAAGCTTTTCCAAGAAGGAAGGGTACAAATAAGTCCAGACTGTAAAGACTAAAATGAATACCTAACCTTTCAATGCCCAGATGCTGACAATTATCCACAAGCATCATTACCATTCAGGAATACATTACTTCACCAAATGAACTAAATAAGCCCCCAGTGACTGTGCTGGAGAGACAGAGATATGTAACCTTTCAAAATAGCTGTGTTTAGGAAATTCAAAGACATTAATGAACATAGAGAAGAAATTCAGAATTCTGTCAAATTTAACAGAGATTAAAATAATTGAAAAGGGCCAGAGGCAGTGGCTCATGCCTGTAATCCCAGCACTTTGGGAGGCCAAGGTGGGCGGATCATGAGGTCAGGAGATTGAGACCACCCTGGCCATGATGAAACCTCATCTCTACTAAAATACAAAAAATTAGCTGAGTGTGGTGATGCACACCTGTAGTCTCAGCTACTCAGGAGGCTGAGGCAGGGGAGTCGCTTGAACCTGGGAGACAGAGGTTACAGTCAGCCAAGATCATGCCACTGCACTCCAGCCAGGTGACAGAGCAAGACTCTGTCTTAAATAAATAAATAAATAAATAGAATCAAGCAGAAATTCTGAAACTGAAAAGTACAATTGACATACTGAGGAATGCATCAGAGCCTCTTACTAGCAAAATTGTTAAAGTGGAAGAAAGAATTAGTGATCTTAAAGATAGGTTATTTGAAAATACACAGTCAGAGGAGACAAAAGAAAAAAAGAATAAAAAGGAATGAAGCATGCCTGTTAAATCTAGAAAATAACCTCAAAAATTAAATCTACAAGGTATTGGCCTTAAAGAGGTGGTGGAGGGAGAGATCAGAGTATAAAGTTTATTCAAAGATATAGTAACAGAGAACTTCTGAAACCTAGAGAAAGACATCAATATTCAAGTACAAAAGGTTATAGAATACCAATAAGATTGATTCCAAATAAGGCTACCTAAAACATTTAATTATCAAACTCCCCAAAATCAAGGATTAAGAAAGGATGCTAGAAGCAGCAAGAGAAAATAAACAAATAAAAGGATCTTCAATATGTGTGGCAGCAGACTGTTCAGTGGAAATCTTATCTTACTGGCCAGGAGAAAGTGGCATGACATATTTGAAGAGCTGAAGAAAAAAAAAAAAAAAAACTTTTACCTTAGAATAGTAAATCTGGCAAAAATATTCTTCAAACCTGAAGGAGAAATACAGACAAACGGAAGCTGAGGGATTTCATCAATACCAGACCTAACTTACAGGAAATGCTAAAAGGAGTTGTTCAATCTGAAAAGAAAGGATGTTAACGAGCAATAATAAATCATCTGATGGTACAAAACTCATTGGCAATTGTAAGTACACAAACCCAGAAGATTATAACGCTGTAATTGTGGTGTGTAAACTACTCAATATCTTGAGTAGAAAGACTAGAAGATGAACATAACAAAAATAATAACTACAACTTTTCAAGACACAGTATAATAATTTATAAATAGAAACAACAAAAAGTTGAAAAGCAGGAGGATGAATTAAAGTTTAGAGTTTTTGTTAGTTTTTTCTTTGATTCTGTTAGTTTATGCAATCAATGTTAGCTTGTCATCAGTTTTAAAAAGTTGTTTATAAGACATTATTTGCAAGGGTTATAGTAATCTCAAAAAAACATACAATAGACACACACAGACACACACACACACAGACACAGACACACACACACACACACACACACACACACACACACACACACACAGAGCAAGAAATTACCACCAGAGAAAACCACCTTCACTAAATGGAAGAAAAGAAGAAGAAAAAAAAAGCAAGTTAAAACCACAAAACAACCAGAAAACAAATAACAAAATGGCACATGCAAGTCCCACTTACCAAACACATTAAATGTAGATGGACTAAACTTTCCAATCCAAAGACAGACAGTGGCTGAATGGATGAAAAAATAAGACCCAAGGATCTGTTGCATATAAGAAATACACTTCCCTGTAAAGATACATAGGGACTGAAAATAAAGGTATGGAAAAACATTTCATGCAAAGGAAAACCAAAATAGAGCAGTAGCTATACTTATATCAGACAAAATAGATTTCAAGACAAAAAATATAAGAAGAGACAAAGAAGGTCATTATATAATGATGGGTGTATTCAGCAACAGAATATAACAATTTTAAATATATACACAGCCAACACTGGAGCACCCAGATATATGAAAATTATTAGAGCTAAAGAGAGAGAGATAGACCCAAATACAATAACAGCTGGAGACTTCAACACTCCACTTTCAACATTCTGTGCAGATCTCCTGCACAGAAAATCAACAAATAAATATTGGACTTAACTCTGCACTGTTGACCAAATGGACATAATGGATACTTATAAGACATTTCATTCAGTGGCTGCAGAATGCACATTCTTCTCAGCATATGGATCATTCTCAAGGATAGACCATAGGTTAGGTCACAAAGCAAGTCTTAAAATGTTCAAAAAATGGGGGATCTGGCAAGATGGCTGAATAGAAACAGTTCTGGTCTGCAGTTCCCAGTGAGAGAACAATGCAGAAGGCGAGTGATTTCTGCATTTCTGACTGAGGTACCCAGTTCATCTCATTGGAACTGGTTATACAGTGGGTGCAGCCCATGGAGGGTGAGCAGAGGCAGGGTGGGGCACCTCAGGGTGGGACACCTCACCTGAGAAGTGCAAGGGACCAGGGAACTCCCTCCCCTAGCCAAGGGAAGTCAAGAGGGACTGTGCCATGAGTGGTGGTACTATCCATGCATTCTGTCCACATGCCTGCACGCCTGGTCTCCTCTTCTCTCTAGGGGAATTGAGGTTTCAGATGATCCCATGGGTAGAATGACTACTCGGTAAATAACAAAATGAAGGCAGAAATAAGAAAGTTCTTTGAAACCAGTGAGAGCAAATACAAAACATATCGAAATCTCTGGGACACAGCTAAAGCAGTGTTTAGAGGGAAATTTATGGCACAAAATGCCCACATCAGAAAGCAGGAAAGATCTAAAATTGACACCCTAATATCACAATTAAAATAAATAGAGAAGCATGAGCAAGCAAATTCAAAAGCTAGCAGAAGACAAGAAATAACTAAGATCAGAGCAGAACTGAAGGAGTTAGAGACACAAAAACCCTTCAAAAAATCAATGAATCCAGGAGCTGTTTTTTTTTTTTTTTTTTAAGACAGAGTCTCTCTCTGTTGCCCAGGCTGGAGTGCAGTGGTGCAATCTTGACTCACTGCAACCTCCACTTCCCGGGTTGAAGCAATTCTGGTGCTTCAGCCTCTTGAGTAGCTGGGGTTACAGGTGAGTGCCATGACGCCTGGCTAATTTTTATATTTCTAGTAGAGATGGGGTTTCACCATGTTTGACTAGGCTTGTCTCGAACTCCTGACCTGCCTCTGTGGCCTCCAAAAGTGCTGGGATTACTGGCATGAGCCACTGTGTCCAGTCTATATACTTCCATTTTCTTATGATCAGTTTCTAAAGATTTATTTTGTTCCCTTTTGTGTTATACTTTTCTGTTTCTTCATGTTCTTTGTAGCTTTGAATTGGTATCTATACATTTGAAGAAATAGCCACCTCTTCCTGTCTTACCAGACTGGCTTTTACAATCAGCCCAGACAGAGATTCTGGGGACCTGTCAAGTCTACTCTGTGAAAGTGTCTTCTCAGGCTGGGCGCGGTGGCTCAAGCCTGTAATCCCAGCACTTTGGGAGGCCGAGGCGGGTGGATCACGAGGTCAAGAGATCGAGACCATCCTGGTCAACATGGTGAAACCCCGTCTCTACTAAAAATACAAAAAATTAGCTGGGCATGGTGGTGCGTGCCTGTAATCCCAGCTACTCAGGAGGCTGAGGCAGGAGAATTGCCTGAACCCAGGAGGCGGAGGTTGTGGTGAGCCGAGATCGCGCCA